GCGACAACGGCGACGACGGCGACGACGACGACGACGACAACGACGTCGACAACGGCACCGACGGCGACGACGACGACGACGGAAAGCGCGGGAGGCACGCGACGCATCGCGAAAAGTCTTTATATTTGAAGTGCGGTCCCGTCAATGTTCCGACTTTCAGGGCCGAGGAGAGGACTACAAGGGACTGTGTCGTCGTTGTCGTCTTCGTCCTGGTCATCGTCGCCGCGTCGCCGCCGTCGGCGCTCCCAGCCGCCGCCGCCAGCGCCGGCGCGCCAGCGGCAGGGCCGGGGGGGCGGAGGTTCGGGGAGAGGGGGGGATATGGGGGAGGGAAGTCCCCTTCGTTGTGTTCGACGGCGCCGAGTGCATGGCGTGCTCACCGGGCGTTCAGTTTTCGCCGCTCTGCTGCTTGCTGCGCCCTTGTGGGTCCAGCAGAGTGTCGCGCTACGCGGGCCCAAACGGGACCTTGTCTCCCTGGGTAGCGTTCAGCTTTTGACCTGTCGCCACTTTCTTGCGCCCGTGGTGGGTTCATCGGAAGTTCGCGCAACGCGGGCCTATCTGAGACCTCGCCTGCTTGAGTGCTCGCCAGGCGCCCAGCTTCCGCCACTTTCCCGTGCCCTTGAAGATCCAGTAGAGTGGCGTACTGCGCGGACAACGTTACAACCTTGCCGACAACGATGCTTGAAAATGTAGCAGTCCCCTTCTTTGATGGTGTATTCAGAGGCAACGAGGGGGGGTACGCATAGGGGGAAAAATCGACCCCCAATCGCCTATTGATCGCCGATAGGAGCCCGATAACCCCAACGTGCCCAGGACCCGGCGGATTCGCTATCAGGGGTTTTCCGCCGATCTATCGGCGATGTGTCGTGGAGGCCAGGTCGAGGTTGCCCCCCTATGCAAGTCCCGCCCCCCTATCGTTGCCCCTCATGAACTGAAGTGGTGACGTCCACAGATGAATGGTGACCTCGCCCCCAGAGTGCCGCCGGACACGTCTGGGATGGCAATGGTTCGCAGTGCCGCGGGAGTCGTCGCGGTCGGAGCTGCGGCGGGCCGCGAGGCAGCTCACTGCGTTTCTACAAGTGGCTCAACTGGAGAGGCGTCCGTGTAGGGAGGACATCAGGGATGAGTATCAAACGAATCACAAACATCTTCATGAGCAGGTCCTTCCCTGTGTGCCGAAAAACGTACAGTTGTCCCCGCTTTCCAGTGCCCTTGGTGGGACAGTGCGACTGTAATCTGCATGACCTGACTAGTGATCTTGTATGCAGTGCTGCTGCCCAATGTGTCCGATGGGTTGACTGCGCCAACGAGTATCGATAGATTTGTCTAAGTAGGCTTGTGCAAGAGGTTTCTTGTGGTTCGCTTAAGGTTAGGGTCGAACCGATGGGTGAGGCCAGACTCTGAGTGTTGTCAGAAATCAATCCCTGGGCCTTGTTCCAATCTTCCAGGTGCAAGTGTTACACCCCAGTGGCTCTTCGTGGTGCCAGAGCTCCTCTTCTGGGTCTGATTCTGACTCTCCAGGTACAATCCATAGAGCCAGCCAGCTCCTCGTGTTGCTAGAAGTCTAGCCACGGGCCTGATTCTAACCAGTTGGGTCAGCTCCAGCTTCAGCTTTTGCTCCTGCTCCACCAACTCCAGCTCTTGCTCCTGCTTCTCTCCATCTCCAGCTCCAGCATCACGTCCAGCTCCAGCCTCAGCTCCAGCCTCAGCTCCAGCTCCAGCTTTGCTCCAACCCCAGCTCCACCCCTAGCTCCACCTCCAGTTCCAGTCTTGTGTGCTCTCGAATGTCATCTTGGTGATCTTCTGATTGTTGTCCAGACTACATCCCCTAGAGTACTTAGCTCATGCTTCGAAGCTGTCATGTCTCATGTTTGCAAACCAGAAGATGCAGATTTTAACTTGCATGTTTCATATACCAGCGTTTCGCAGTAATGCTTTCGAACCAAGCGTTGCGTCGAACCCAGCGCGTCCGCGTCTTTACCCGTGCATGTTATTTCCACACATGGGCTTCTTGCCAAACAAGCACAACTATGCAATCATCATCGCCAGCTCTCTTCCTGGAGAGTTTTTTCCCATTGGCGTCTTGGACTTTGAAGACAATCAACTATTCACTGCGTGGAGCTCCCCATATGTGCATCTACTCGCATGGGCCTGTCCGCCGTGAATGTCTCGGCGCAAGAGCTTTCGAATGTTAACGGGCTTCAGTTGTGACGGTCTGGTCATCAATCTAATTGCGAATGAATTGGAGTGTGAATGAGCCTCAGTAGTACGAGCGCGTCTCTGTGCATGAGCCTGGGGCCTCCTGGGGCCTCCTGAAACCTACTGGGGCTTCCTGGGGTCTCCAGGAGCCTTTTGGGACCTCCTGGGACCTCCTAGGAAGGTTTCGTGCCCCAGGAGAGGCGCAACATATAGCAACAGACGTACATAAAACACTGCGGATTAGAGCCGCAGGAGAAGGGCAACGTATAGGAACACGCGTAAAACACCAAGGGCTCGTGCCCCAGGAGAGGCCCAATACATAGGAACACGAGTAAAACATTTAGGATTGTGTACACAGGAGAAGGACCATCTATAGAAACATACGTAGAACATCAAAGAATCGTGCTCCAGGTGAGGCCCAATCGATATGAGCATACGTAAAACACATGGGATTGGAGCCGCTCCTGTTGCCTTCTGAGGCCTCATGCTCCTGGGGCCTCTCGGGGCCTCCTGTTGCCTTCCGAGGCCTCCTGGCGCTTCTTGTTGCCTCCTGGGGCCTCCTGTGGTTTCCTGAGGCCTTCTGGAGCTTCCTGGGGCCTCCTGGAGCCTCTTGGGACATCCTGTGGCCTCTTGAGTCTTTCTGTGGCCTCCTGATGCCTCCTGGGACCTCATGTGGTCTCCTGGGGCCTCCTGGAGCCTGTTGGAGCCTCCTGTGGCATCCTGAGAAGAATCTGCGCCCACGAGCCTGGCCACCAAAACAAGCAAACCGATCGAGACATCCTCAAAATCTGGCCCACCTGGGGGGTGAAAATGAGCGCCTCGCTCGAGACATCCTCCAATCTGCTCCGAAAGCGAAGGATGTTGGAGCCCAGAAACAAGCAAACCGCCTGAGACATCCCCACAAAATGGCCGCGAACGAGCCCGTGCAACCACCCCTGGCGGCTCCCCTTAGGGGTGCTGAAACCAGCGCCCCGCCTGAGACATCCTCACAATCTGCTCTCCAAGCGAAGGATGTTGAGCCCAGAAACAGGCAAACCGCCTGAGACATCCCCACAAAATGGCCGCGAACGAGCCCGTGCAACCACCCCTGGCGGCTCCCCTTAGGGGTGCTGAAACCAGCGCCCCGCCTGAGACATCCTCACAATCTGCTCTCCAAGCGAAGGATGTTGAGCCCAGAAACAGGCAAACCGCCTGAGACATCCCCACAAAATGGCCGCGAACGAGCCCGTGCAACCACCCCTGGCGGCTCCCCTTAGGGGTGCTGAAACCAGCGCCCCGCTTGAGACATCCTCCAAATCTGATGTGTGTTGAGTAAGTCTGAGTATGAGTAGGTCTGGGTATGAGTATGCCTGAGTATGAGTAAGTCTGTGTATGAGTAAGTCTGTGTATGAGTAAGTCTGGGTATGAGTAGGTCTGTGTATGAGAAAGTCTGTGTATGTGTACGTCTGGGTATGAGTAAGTCTGAGTAGGAGTAATACTGTGTATGAGTAAATCTGGTATGAGTAAGTCTGTGTATGCGTACGTCTGGGTTTGAGTAAGTCTGTGTATGAGTAAGTCTGTGTATGAGTATGCCTGAGTGTGAGTAAGTCTGAGTATGAGTAGGTCTGAGTATGAGTAAGTCTGAGTATGAGTAAGTCTGAGTATGAGGAGGGGAGGAGGAAAGAGGAGGAGGACGAGGCAGTAGCAGGCGTCCAAGTAATAACAAGAACCCCATCTTAGGATATGGGGAACAAGAACATCTCGGATCGACCGTTAAGGTCCCCGAAGTTGGGCCCAGGGAGAGAGGATACTGGATGGATTGGTGGAGGAGGTAAGTGGTACAACTCCAGGCACTTAGTCGCCCTGATGGCTTGTCGGATTTACAATCAGGAGCAGAAGAAGACCAATGACGACGCCCAGGTCTTCTTCAATTTGTTGAGCCAGGACATCAACGAGACTATTGACGTGTGTGTGGGCTGCCAGTGGGACGATGGCAGCATGCAGCGTAAGTTCGTCAAACCTTTTGTCAGTTTGTTCGGCTTGCTGGTGAGCGATGTTCAAGGACTCCAGGCTCAGAGCAAAGATGAACTCCAAGCTAAGATCCAGGCTGCGAACCGCAAGGTTGCCGAGTTACTAGCCCAAAAGATGGAGTTGTACCGAACGGACATTTATGTCTCTATGATGAAACGCCAACACGAATTACGCATGATGTTCAACAAGACTGTGCAGCCGTTGCTGGATGTCCTCACCAACGATGGGGGGAGGGCACTCGATGTCACGATGCGGACGGAACATCTGGAGTTCCCTAGCATTGATTTCGCCAGCTTTCAGGAAGAAATGGCGCAGAAGATGATTACCATGGTCCAGGCTAAGCGGGAGCAGGTGCGAAAGGTACGGCAGCAAAAAGAGGTAAAGTACGGTGCATGTGGCAGGCAGTCCACAGAATGGAAGGACGTGCCTTACTTGGAAGAGAAGACGACAGGCTACAGCCTTCCACGTTCTGATTTGAAGAAGATGTGGGGGGAACGAATCCAGGAGCAGCTCGAGGCATCGAAGCGCTCCACTGAATTGCTCATCGAGCAGGAGATTCTAAGTGAGGTGGAGCGCATCCGCTTGCAGATGACAAGCCGTTGCGACGAGTATATTCGTATGATCCAGGTCCAAGTGGAACGCCATCGTGACGACACCACCCAGGAGACTCAGCGCATCGATACGCTTGATACAAAGCTTGCCGAGATCGAGGCCGTCTTGGGCAGGATCGACACCGTTAAGACCTTGCTGAGGGGAGCGGCAGACCCTTTTGCCGACTTCGTGTTTTTGGACGGCCCGCTTCCTGGTTCAGTCAGCTCTGTGCCAAAAAACGGCTTGTCCCCCGCGTAGGCGGGGGTGGCAACAGTTCATCGACGAAGAACAGATTGCACAAACAGAGCTTCTGAAGGTCCGCGTGGACTTCTTCGGTCGGCGCTGGGCCCCCCTCCCTGGCGCGCGGAGCTCCGCGCGCAAGGAGCGTTGCGTAATTCTCCGCCAGGGGGGCCCGCCGCAGATTCAAGGGACCTGCGCGGATCTCCGAAAGTTTATGTTTGTGAAGTTGTTTCACTTTCGCACACCACTCGTCCCAACAGTGGTGCTGCCACCGACTGAACAGATTCATCTCGCTTCGCCAGTTGCGCGTCCAGACATGCGAACTGTCCTTGTCCCCCTCCTTTTCGCCCCCGCCCTCTCCCTTCCCCTCCTCTCCTTTTCAATGTCGGTTTCTCCATATTCCTTCTCTGTTCCCCATATCCAAAGGATGAGTTTCTTGATTTTCCCCATCTCCTAAGGATGGGGTTCTTATTCATGGGGTTCTTGTTGTTACTCCGACGGCGCCGACAACACCTCGTCCCCCTCCGACTTTCCCTCCTGATGTTGATGCTGAGTGATGTTATGTGATGCTTCGTTGTGTCACGACATGACATGTCATGATCTGTTATGACATGTTGTCTTACGTTCGGAGGGGGGAGATGATGATAAGGATGCTGATGTTGATGATGATGACGATGATGTTGATAATACTGCTGCTGCTGATAATCATGTTGATGATGCTGCTGATGATGATGATGTTGATGCTGATTATGATGCAGCTGCTGATGATGATGATAAACATGATGATGATACTGATGTTGATGCTGTTTATGCTGCGGATGATGGTGCTGTTGCTGATGATGATGGTGGTGATGATGATGTGGATGACGATGACGATGACGATGATGACGATGTTTACGATGATGATGCTGATGATGCTGATGATGCTGATGATGATGTTGATGCTCATGATGATGATGGTGATGATGGCGATGATGCTGCGGCTGATGATGCTGGTGGTGGTGATGATGGTGATGATGCTGATGATGATGATGATGATGACGATGATGATGATGAGGATGATGCTGCTGCTGATGGTGATGATGATGCTGATGGTGATGATGATGATGATGACGATGATGATGATGATGATGATGATGATGCTGCTGCTGATGATGATGCTGCTGCTGCTGCTGATGATGATGATGATGATGATGATGATGATGATGTTGATGATGATGATGTTGATAACGGCGGAACAACTGTTGAGGATGTCTCGAGCGATGCGCGGGGTTCAACACCTCGAAGGGGCAGCCGCCAGGGGTATTGCTTTCTTCCGTTCGCGCCAAGTGGCAGGAGCGGTTTGCCTTTTTGCATGCGCGACATCCTCTGCGTTCGGAGCAGATTCGGAGGATGTATCGAGCGAGGCGCTGGTTCTCGCACCCCTGGTGATCCAGATTGCGAGGATGTCTCGAGCGGTTTGCCTATTTTGCTGGTTGGACTCGTGGGCACTGATCCTCCCCAGGATGCCATAAGAGGCTCCAGCAGTCTCCAGACGGCCCCAGGTGGCCACAGAAGGCCCCAAGAGGCTCCAGGAGGCCCCAGGAAGCTCCAGGAGGCTTCATGAGGCCCCAGGATGCTCCAGGAGGCCCCTGGAGGCCCCTGGAGGCCCCAGGAGGCCCCAGGAGGCCCCAAGAGGCTCCAGGAGGCCCCAGACACCAGGAGGCCCCACGAGGCTCCAGGAGGCCCTAGGAAACACCAGGAGGCCCCAGGAGGCCACAGGATGCCACAGGAAGCACCAGAAGGCACCGTGAAGCCCTGGAAGGCACCAGGAGGCTCCAGGAGGCACCTGAAGCAGGAGTCTTCAGAAGGCCACAGGAGTGGCTACAATCCGAAGTTGTTTACGTGTGTTCCTATAGATAGGGCCTCCCTCGTGGCACGGGTCCTGTGGAGTGCCGCTCTCCTGTGGTGCCAATCCGAATTGTTTTTACGTGTGTTCCTGTCGATTGGGCGTCTTCTGGGGCACGAGCTCCCCCCGCGAGGCCACAGGAGGCTCCAGGAGGCCCCTGGAGGCCCGAGGCCCCGGGAAACTTACGGAGGCCACAGGAAGCCCCAAGAGGGCCCAGGAGGCTCCAATGGGCCCCAGGAGGCCCCAGGAGGCCCCAGGAGCCAGGAGGCCCCAGGAGGCCTCAGGCTCATGCGCAGAGACGCACTCGTACTACTGAGACTCAGTCACACTCCAACTCAGTCACAGCTAGATTCGCTCGCAATCCGTCAATACTCAAGCACGTTCATCTTCGAAAACTCTTGCGCCTAGACACTCACGGCGGACAGGTCCATGCGAATAGATGCACATATAGGGAGTTCCACGCAGTGATTGTTCATTACTCCAACCACGCCGACTCCTTCTTCACCTCCCTCCTCCTTCTCCTCCTGATGACGATAATGGTGGTGATGATGATGAGTATGCTGCTGCATGCTGTGTGGATGATGATGATGAGGATGATGGCGAGGATGTTGATGGTAATGATGATGATGTTGATGAGGATGCTTGTGATGATGCTGTTGATGCTGATGATGCTGATGATGAGGCTGGTGATGCTGATGGCTATGATGATGGTAATGGCGATGTTGCTGGCGATGCTGCTGATGCTGCTGATGATTACGATGATGATGATGCTTATGACGATTAAGATGAGAAGGCCCGTATTCAGGGCATGATATGATGATGGTGATGACGATGGAGAACATGATGGTGATGATGATGATGATGATGATGATGCTGATGATGCTGATGAGGATGATGATGATGAGGATGAGGATGATGATGAGGATGATGATGATGATGATGATGATGATGCTGATGATGATGATGATGATGATGATGACTGTGATCATGCTGCTGGGGCCCGTATTCAGGTTATGGCATGCGGATGGTGATGATATTGATGATGGTGATGATGAGGATTATGATGATGATGCTCATGATTATGTTAAGCATGCTGCTGTTGTTGGTGACGGCGACGATGATGATGCCGGTGTTGAGGCCCGTATTCATGTTACGACGTGATGGTGATAATGTTGATGACGATGATGATGATGATGATGATGATGATGCTGATGATGATGATGATATTGATGATGATGATGATGATGATGATGATGATGATGATGATGCTGATGCTGATGCTGATTATGCTGATGATGCTGATGATGATGATGGTGATGCTGATGCTGATGATTGTGGTGGTGGTGATGCTGATGGCGATGGCGATGATGATGACGATGCTGATGCTGATGCTGATGCTGATGCTGATGCTGATGCTGATGCTGATGCTGATGCTGAAGCTGCTGCTGCTGCTGATGATGATAGTAATGATAGTGGAGCAGAATCAGAGGATGTCTCGGGCGAGGTGCTGGTTTCAGCAACATGGGGGGCCGCCAGGGGGTATTGCAGTCGTCCGTTCGCGTCCAAATTGCGGGGTTGTCTCGAGCGGTTTGCCTGTTTGTGCCCTAATCGCCCTCGCTTTCGGAACACATTTCGAGTATGTCTCGGGCGAGGCGCTGGTTTCAGCACACCCAAGGGGGGCCGCTAGGGGGTATTGCAGTCGTCCGTTCGCGCCCAAATAGCGGGGATGTCTCGAGCGGTTTGCCTGTTTGTGCCCTAATCACCTTCGCTTTCGGAACAGATTTCGAGGATGTCTCGAGCGAGGTGTTGGTTTTCGCACACCCAAGGGCGGGCCGCCAGGAGGTATTGCATTCGTCCGTTCGCGCCCAGATTGCGGGGATGTATTGAGCGTTTTGCTTGTTTGCGCCCTCAGCATCCCCCGCTTTTGGAGAAGATTTTGAGAGTGTCTCGAGCGAGGCGCTGGTTTTCGCATCCCAGGGGTCCAGATTGCGAGGATGCCTCGGGCGATTTGCTTGTTTGGGTGGCCAGGTTCGTCTGCGTTCGGAGCAAATTCTGAGGATGTCTTGGGCGAGGCACTGGTTTTTCGCACCTCTGGTGGCCCAGATTGCGAGGATGTTTCGGACTCACGTATGCTCAAACTCACTCGTATTCAAACTCATTCATACTCAGACTCGTACCCCTCCTTTGGGGAGTGCGCCACGGGCGCGCTCTCTCTTATCTATACGTAGTGAGGGTCCCGCGTGGGACGTCCCCACGAACTCGGAACGTCGGAGGAGTCGGTTTACGAGGTTGTTTGTAGTAAATTTCACCTGAGAAAATCCAATCAGTGGATGACTTGAACATTGGTACTATGGATCTTGATATCGATTGTGAGATCGATAATGCGATCGATAGTGGAATCGATATTGAGGACGATCGATCGTGAGATCGAGAGTGACATCGATTCAATGAAATCGATAGTGAGATCGGTCGCTAGATCACTCATGCGATCTCTAGTGAGATCGCTTGTGAGATTGATAGTGAGATCAATTGTGAGATCGATGGTGAGATCGATCGAGAAGTCGGTAATGAGATTGATGGTGAGACCGATCGATAAGAAGATCGACCAGGAACCCGGGAACCTGGGAACCTCGCCGCCCTCTGAAATCGGCCCGGAACCTGCAACCCGGGAGCCCGGAACCAGGAACCCGGGAACCCAGCGTGTGACCAAAATCGGCGGGGCACTTTCGCCAAATCCTTCAACATCCGCGAGGACCCCTTCAGTGCAAGCACTGATTGGGGAATCTGGCTTTCGCCAGGGACGTCCTCTGAATCTGGATATGTCCATTGAACCCACGAGTTCCGGCGAAGTTTCAAGAAGGGGGATCTCGCCTGAGACATCCTTAATGAAGCATGTGTTTGGTATACGGTATATTTGTGTTACGGGTTCGTATATTTCAATTGCCGCCGGCCTGTGCCGCCGATCCGGGGCTTTCCTGGTGTTTGAGGCCTGCCACCGCGTAGCGAGGAGCGACGAGGTTTGAGATTCGAGGTGTTCGGAGGTCTTCACTGGTTCTCAGCTTAGCGTTTTCGCTTCCTCACAATAACAAGGCAGACCATGCACCTCTGGCCTGGCAGCGCGCGTGGCGGCGCCTCTTTGGGCCTCTTGGTGGCCTTTGGGGGGCTTCTTGGAGGCCTCTTGGGTCTTCTTTGTAGCCTCCTGGAGTCTTGGGGGCCTCTTGGAATCCTCTTGGGCCTCATGGGGGCGCCTCGGGATCCTTTTGAGGGCTTCGGAATTCATATTCGGGTGAAGGCCTCGAAGGAACCTTCGTGAGATCGTCTTGGGGGCCTCTCGGGGTCATCTTTGGGGCCTCCTTTGCAATCTTGGGCCGTCCTTGGGCCCTCTTGGGGCCTCTTGGGTCTTGGGCCGTTTAGGGGCGATCTTCGTGGCCTCCTGGAGCAGTTTACTGGAACATGGGAATTTGCCGAATTTG